CTTTTGAATGCTTCCGCTCGCGATCTACAAAGGTATGTAGATGCATCTAATCACTCGTTGCTAGATGAACTCCTAGATGATCTTGGTGAAACGAGTAGGAAAATTTTTGTTTTCTGCAACGTTCCCCAACACTACCGTCACAGGGCTTCGCCTAAGCACTGCAATAATATGAACGAGGTGGAATATGGTGGAGGGGGGCACCGCACACGGCTAAGGAACGATCACGAAGATCAACTTGTGTGTCCATGGGGTTCCCCCTGCCCCCGTATATAAAGGAGTGGAGGAGGGGACGGCCGGCCCTCTCTATGGCGCGCCCTAGGGGAGTCCTACTCCCACCGGGAGTAGGATTCCCCCTTTTCCTAGTCCAACTAGGAGTCCTTCCAAGTATTAGGAGTAGGAGACAAGGAAAGGGAAGGGAGAAGGGAAAGAAGGAGGGGCCGCGGCCCCTTCCCTTAGCCCAATTCGGACTAGGCCTTGGGGGGGCGCGCGGCCTGCCCTAGGCAGCGCCTCTCTCTTTCCCGTATGGCCCAATAAGGCCCAATACTTTTCCCGGCGAATTCCCGTAACTCTCCGGTACTCCGAAAAATACCCGATTCACTCGGAACCTTTCCGAAGTTCGAATATAGTCGTCCAATATATCGATCTTTACGTCTCGACCATTTCGAGACTCCTCGTCATGTCCCCGATCTCATCCGGGACTCCGAACTCCTTCGGTACATCAAAACTCATAAACTCATAATATAACTGTCATCGAAACCTTAAGCGTGCGGACCCTACGGTTCGAGAACAATGTAGACATGACCGAGACACGTCTCCGGTCAATAACCAATAGCGGAACCTGGATGCTCATATTGGCTCCTACATATTCTACGAAGATCTTTATCGGTCAGACCGCATAACAACGTACGTTGTTCCCTTTGTCATCGGTATGTTACTTGCCCGAGATTCGATTGTCGGTATCTCAATACCTAGTTCAATCTCGTTACCGCAAGTCTCTTTACTCGTTCTGTAATACATCATCTCGCAACTAACTCATTAGTTGCAATGCTTGCAAGGCTTAAGTGATGTGCATTATCGAGAGGGCCCAGAGATACCTCTCCGACATTCGGAGTGACAAATCCTAATCTCGAAATACGCCAACCCAACATGTACCTTTGGAGACACCTGTAGAGCTCCTTTATAATCACCCAGTTACGTTGTGACGTTTGGTAGCACACAAAGTGTTTCTCTGGCAAACGGGAGTTGCATAATCTCATAGTCATAGGAACATGTATAAGTCATGAAGAAAGCAATAGCAACATACTGAATGATCAAGTGCTAAGCTAACGGAATGGGTCATGTCAATCAGATCATTCATCTAATGATGTGATCCCGTTAATCAAATAACAACTCTTTGTCCATGGTTAGGAAACATAACCATCTTTGATTAACGAGCTAGTCAAGTAGAGGCATACTAGTGACACTCTGTTTGTCTATGTATTCACACATGTATTATGTTTCCGATTAATACAATTCTAGCATGAATAATGAATATTTATCATGAAATAAGGAAATAAATAATAACTTTATTATTGCCTCTAGGGCATTTTTCCTTCGGTCGGAGCATAATTTATTTATTTATTGTCTTCCTTATGAGTGGCGGTCGGGGATGAGCGATGATATTTTCCTACCAATCTATCCCCCTAGGAGCATGCGCGTAATACTTTGCTTTGATAACTTCTAGATTTTTACAATAAGTATATGAGTTCTTTATGACTAATATTGAGTCCATGGATTATATGCACTTTTTCCCATCCTTCCACCATTGCTAGTCTCTCTAATACCGCGCACTTTTTCCCATCCTTCTATATTTTGTTATCTTCTATCCTTCCATATGCATGCTTGATTGCATTTTATAATCATGTTTTCTTGGATGCAAGACTTGTATGCTTCCACCGCAAAAACAATATACTTGGATACTTCCAGGGCATTTGATAACCTATTGCATAATAGTGGCGAGAGCTAACCCAGCTAACCCAGTATTATTATCAGTGAAAAAATATCACGATATAGTGTCCCTAATAGAACGCTATAGCGTTCTGGGCAAAGGCTTGCTAAATAAATCCATGTACAGTGTGTCGCTAATAGCATGCTATAGCACGAAATAGCACGCTAATAATGTATTTGGGTCGCGCTATTTTATCATAGCATCATTGATTATTATCATTTCCTGTTTCTAAAGTGAGCTCACAATCACACTTTTTTTACAATGAGCAGATCAAATAGTTGGTATGATTTACAGAAAACCACCACATTGATGCCTTCTTTAGCAGAAAACACCGGTTTACAAATTTGGGACAAAATAAGTGATTCTCAGTCTAATCTAAAAAACGTTGATTTGTGGCTTAGGTCATTTTGTTAATGAATATGAAATGTGGGTCTTGCATTTATTGACGTGGCGTCCACGGCAGAGCATAGCATCCGCAGAAACGGTAAAGAGAAGATGCAGCATCCGCAGAACGTGCTGAGCTTTTCTAGGAGGATCTCTTTGGTCCAATGCTTTCGGCTTGGGTGGTGGGATCGCTCCGCGGCAGAGCATAGTGATCCTATCCTTGATAAGAAATTGTGCCTTCTCCTCAGGTATCGCTTACCATGAACTGTCTTGTGGGCTGCTATGCTTGGGGCGATGATGTGTGGTTGATATCACAGGTCCTTGCTGGAATATCCACAAGGTATGTAAAGTTTCTTGATATCACAAAATATACTCCCAGACGAGAGTGACTAGGAAAACAATTTGCATACAACTCTATCTCCTTCTATAATTTCTTCTTTCTCTTTGGGCATATCCTACAAGTCCATTTGTTTACTGCCTCTCTCTGCTTGCTCTCATGTCTAGCAGTAATCTTACCCTTTATACATTCCATCATTGAAATCACAGGGAACTCCCTTGCTTCCAATATGTAGCTGCAATGCATTGCAAATAAATGATTAAATGACAACACAATACAACGCAAATCAATAGAAAGCACAGTACTGCAATTTACCTATTGTATAAACAAACCACGCCATCTAGGATGTCCTTCCCAGGCAATAACCAGTACACTTGTAGCTCGGGACTAGTAATGTCATATCCCAAATGTTGCAATATGAAATTAATCACATCCCTAGACCACGTGTTGACATCACAATTGTCATACTCCTCTTGAGTGCTTCCCAAAATGTCCTTCTATCATCCAGCCCACAAAATATGCCATTTTGTTCAAAGACCGCTATAAAGAAATTGGAATATTCTCCTGCAAGTAGAAGTACACAATTGTTGTTCAAGAAATCATCCGATTTATCGCTACTTGGGGGGTGGCCGATAAGATTATGCCTTATCTTCATTGTTTATCGTTTGGGCCGATTTATCGCTCTGACAAGCGATTTATAGGGAATCTATCGATAAATTGGGCCTATTCCTAGCACTATTTTTGCAGAAACTATGTTTATTTGTGTTTTGTGGACCTGGTTATGCAGTATGTACTATTTTCCTATTTTTATTTTTCATTGTACGAGGATTCAAATGCTAGGAATCAAGGTAACACTTCTATGCAATATTTTTGGTGTTGAATATAAGATATTTTCGTGTTGGAAACCTAAGATTTGCAAAAAATGACCGATAAATAGTCGGCCGATAAAATTGATTAATCAGCCGATTTCCGATTAATCTCTAATCCCCAGCTGACCGAGACGACAACGATAAGCGATATCCTCAACATTGCCTTTACTGAAAAATGTTTACAACATCACTGCATTTCAGTAAATTCGACCACTGAATTATGAACATATATGAAAAAACTATAGTACACTGATCTCTGCCACTCAATTCTGAACCTATGTCAATTCTGAAACTGCAGTACAATATTTTAATGTATGAACTTTTATTTTGTACACTATGATTTTTTTAATACAAACTTAGCTTTTAATGTAGGCTAAACTAGTTTTTAATACACACATACCGTTTTTTCTGTATGTAGTAAACTTTTTTAAAATAGAAAACTTTTTTAAAATCACTATGAACACCTTTTTATACAAATTTAATTTTTATTATGTACGGTCAGCTTTTTTAAATATATGACGAATTTTTTTCCAATAGATACGGAACTTTTTTTAATATAATTTGATGTACATGATAATTTTTCTAAATATATGTTGAACTTTTAAAAATAAATGATGAAGTTTTTAAAAATAACGATGACATTTTTTCAATATATAATGAACATTTTCTTACAGGAAAAGTCTTTTTGTGGTTGACATTTATTCCCCTGTGTTTAAGAACCAGAGCCACTTGGTCAAAACCCAAAAATGCCAATAAAACCCAGAAACGCGCCAATTTTCTCGAGCACATGGTATGCGTCCGCCCAGCACACCAACGACGACAGAGTACTTGACGTGGTTCTCGCCCGTGTCGCCGCACCTGTCACATCACTTTCCGCTTGGTACCATTGCCGCTGTCGCGCGTTGGGTTGTTGACAACGTTGAGTTTATGGCCATGGAGCCCACCGAGGTGACATGCTATGCTTCCTCCTCCACTTGGACCTCACCCGCCACGAGCTGCTCGTCGATAATGTCGAGGCAACCTCGTGCGCTAATCACGCGACAGATCACAGACACATCGAGGTTGTTTGCAAACACACACACACTTGGGAGTTGATTTTCACTTTCCGTGAGTGAACTCTCATGTGGGTGAAGATTGAAGAGACGACAGTGGTAATCACCTGATACGATTACGATTTACACTTGTATGATAGTTCATCGTGTGTTTGTGTTCCATCTTCCATGCGCGAGCGAAATATACGATTTGCGAGAGTAAAGAGACACCAGCAGTCTGCTATGGAAATGGAACAAAAGCCTTTGCTTTGCTTTGCATTAATCCGTTGATCGATTGGTGTATGTACACTTGAGGGTTTGGACAGGATCAGAATGATCCTCCAAAAAAAGACTAGACTACGCTACTACACTAGCTAGGGCATTGAGTTGGATCAGCAGTAGGTCTGGGTCTGGATGTTGAGGAGCGCGACCCTGGTGTGCAGGATGCTCCGGAACACCTTGTCGCTGCCGGTCTCGATGTCGGCGGCGCACGCCTCGACCTCCTCCAGCCTCTCCAGGGCGGCCACCTCCTTGTCCTCCTCGGAGGCGGCCTTGGCCCGCATGACGAGGGCCCTGAGCGAGGACGCCGCGGTGGTCTTCTTGGAGGTGGCGGCGGCGGACACGGCCTCGACGGAGGAGAACACGGCGGCAGACGCGCACGCGGCGGTGGCCACGGCCTCGGCGAGCACCCCGGACACCTCCACCTCCGCGGCGCTGGTGGACGCGGACGGCGTGGGGAACTTGGCCGCCACGCGCACGGAGGCGGCCAGGCGGGCCAGCTCCTTCTCGGCGCGGCGGAGGGACCGGACTGCGGATGACCGCCTGTTGTCGTCGCGGCGCCGGAGCGCGGCCTGCGCCTCGGCGGCGTGGGCGCGGAGCTCGAGGAGCGACTCCTGGAACGCGCCGTGGGCGTCGGCGAGGTTCAGGAAGCCGTCGAGGAGGCAGTCGGCGGTGTTGGACCCGCCCTCTAACGCGGCGCGGGCCTCGGGGAGGAGCAGGAGCTCGGCGAGCGCGGCGTGGAGCGCGTCGAGGCGGGCGAGGCCCGTGGAGGGCGCGCTGGGGGCGGCGATCCAGGCGCGGACGGCGGAGATGTGGGTGGCGAGGTGGGAGAGGAGCGGGTGGGAGTGGCAGGGGAGGGAGACGGAGCGGACGTGGTAGGCCGCGGCGCGGGCCCTGGAGGCGCGCGCCGGGCTGAGCGGGAAGGAGATGGAGCGGCCGAAGCTGGGCGCCATTGCTTGCCGCTGCCGGAGCGAGCTAGCTGGAGGAGCCTAGACGGTTGACTTGCTGCTGCTGCTTGCGCTTGCTCGCTGTGATGAATGATGAGAGGGACGTGGTGGCGTCGGGTATATAAAGCGGGAGAGCGGCGCCGGCCATGGGGCGAGCGACACGGTGGGTGGGGACTGGGGAGAGCGCGTGCGCCGATGCCATCGCGGCGCGTCTGCGGCTCTGTGCATGTGCACGTTTGGGCGGTTGGTGGCGGGAGGGGGACAGGATCCGCGGGGACGCGTGGACCTGTAGCTCGATCCACCTGCAGCGCGTGCTCCAGTGCAGCGGCGAGGTCGCCTCACCTCACATGCGGCGGGGACGCGCTGTGGTCACCGTGGCGCGCCACGACTCCCCGGGGCGCCGAGGGGTAGGTGTGGCCGTGCCGCTGGCCATACGCGTGGATGCGCCCCCCCGGCCGATCCGGGGGTGGAAGCGCCGCCGGCGTTGCGGTGTCCCGATCGGACTGGAGCGCGTCCGTCCATGATTTTTTGTTGGGTGACCTATTAGATCTGGAATGGAAGCTCACATAAGTTGAGCTGATTTTTGTCCATATGAAAGCAGAGGACCATATGGTCTGTGGCCTTTTCATCCATATGAAAGTAGAGGCACATTGTGGTGCTAGTTTGCTGGGTTTTGTCTCCGACCATCGTGTCGTGATGATTTTGCAGGTACCCCGAGAGGCCCTTGAGTTTGCCGGAATGTCGATTAACTTCCGTTCCGGAAAATTCGGGTACTCCATATGTCTTATTTTCAGCAAAGGTCATGCTGAAATTTTCCGTGAATTTTAGCATGACTTTGCTAAAAATCGGACATATGGGGTACTTGCTACTAATGCATGGGCCGGGGTATCTTAGTACTTAATTAAGTAGGATCAACTGCCCCGCCATTCTTGCTGCATTAAACCATAGGTGGCAATAGAGCCAAGTGATTAGGCCCAACTTAGAATTCTTGTTAGCATCGATAAACCCTAGATGATAAACCCAACATAGGTGGCAATAGAGCCAAGTGATTAGGCCCAACCTAGGGTGCCTCGGCATCGATAAACCCTGAATGATGAAAACTTAACTTCGCTTCTATATGGTGCCTCGGTGTCGATGAGAACCTAAATGATGTACGCTTAGGCTTTTAGGGTGCCTCGACGTCGACAAAACCTAAATGATGAAAGCTTAGGCTTTTAGGGTGCCTCGACGTCGACAAACCCTAAATGATAAAACCTTGGCTTTTAGGGTGCCTCGGTGTCGATAAGAACCTAGATGATGAAAGCTTAGGCTTTTAGGGTGCCTCAGCGTCGACAAACCCTAAATGATAAAAGCTTAGCTTTTAGGATGCCTCGGTGTCGACAAACCCTAAATGATGTAGTTTTGAATTATGAACGTAGGATATGTCATCATGATCATCGGACGACGAAAGTCTCCCGGCGGAGTGCGACTGGTGCCACGACGATCGAGGTCTGTGCGACATGCCTCACCTGGACGATAATCGGCGCTTCAGCATTAAGCTCGAGGAGACCTTCGAAGTTGAAACGGTACACAACGACGACAAGTGTTATTTTCATAATTAAGCATGACTTCAACTATTTCAACGTGTAATTTTCATCTTTTACAATTCGAGTATAGCTTATCCCATGCCATGCAAGACGCTATGTCTTGGAGAGGATGGATTTTGAAGACCATGAAATTTCTGAAACAAAGAAAATTCACCTAAGGACTCATCGCGATGTGGACTTTGAAGTAAATCTATATAATTCTGAGAGCGTAACCCATTTTGGTTGCAAAAATTGGGAAGCATTTTGCAAAGATGTATGGTTTTGATGAGGGTATGCTTATCACCATGGATCTTGATAATCCTGACATCAACCAAGACAATATGGACATTTGGGTCCTTGTTGATACGCCTCCAGTTCTACCGCTATGTGAGTTTCTCAAACATAGTTATTAGCTAATTTATATTGTTTATTTCAAAATAGTTGACAGCTTATTTCCATTGACAGCTTATTTTTATTGTTCAAAGAATGTGCGGGAGATGGTAGACAAAACCCACTACACCGATGGCTCCGAATTAACAACTTACAAGGAGAAAAATCATTTGGTCGGATTTTGTACTGACATTGAGAATTACAATATCTACAATCAAACTCCTCAACATTATGGTAAATACATGCCACTAGTGCATGTGTTCAACTACGGTAACTACCATGGAGATACCTGGTAAGATTTTTACTATTACGACATCCGTGCATTTTTTTGCATACTTCTAAAACTAGTACATCATTGCTAACTATGAAGTTATTACTATGTTTTTCAACAGATAATCCCAGAGAATTGTGTGCCTCATATGATGTATCTGAAAGGTAGTGTTAATGTTTTGAACATACAGCCAGGTCGTCCTACGAATCTCAACTGTCCATACGAGATTTCTAAAAGAAGTGGAGACATGAAAATAAAGGATGGAAAAAATGTATGGCCAGTCGTAAGGAGCTTCTTGGAAGCAAAAGGAAGCGAAGCGCAAGAATTGGAGACATGATGATCTCCATTCTCCATAATGGAGAGTCAGGGTCTATATTGTTTTATGCTATTTTAGCTTAAATAGGGTATTTAGGTCCTGCCTAATACTGATGATCATGTGTTAAGAACAATTAAGTAGGGTTGGTTCGAAAACTATCAAGATGATGATCGTATGACTTGTTATGAATAACGAGTAGAAGTTGTTTGATGATGATTAGTAGGACTTGTTAGGATTAGTATTACTTCCGACAAACTCGATACTCGCGGTCTCGAGACTTGTAATGTTTTATCTTTGTTCAGTCTTTTGAATTCGGAGACTAATATGATGAATTGTATTCGGAGACTAATCTTCTATTGTATTCGATGAATCTGTTGTTGCTGTGTGCTACTGTCTATATTCTGTCAAATAATATATTTTGTAACATGTGCAAAAATCAGAAAAGTAAAAAAACCCTAATATTCATACTAATGGCGCATCACTACAAAGTGCACCATTAGTGTGCCAAAGCACATGGTTAAATATGGCCCCTGGGAGGCACACTAATGACGCATGGTGTTATATACTAATGACGCACTGGATGATGCGTCATTAGTATACCAGATACTAATGGTGTACCAGTGGTGCTCCATTAGTAAAAATTACTAGTGGCATGCTATTAATGACGCACCGGTGATGCGTCATTAGTAGGCAAAACCGGTGCGCCATTAATAGGCCTTTTCCTAGCAGTGGTTGTTGTTGCTCGTGGCATTTCTACTAATGCTAGTGTCTCAAAGCCTATTACACTGGTGACAGAGACCCGCCTAGACAGAGTCGAGACTCACCCTCCCCCCAAGATGAAGTAAGATGGCGAAGAAGTCGATGATCTCGGACTGAGACCAATCAAGCTTAAATCGGATCCAGGAGGTGGCCCATTCCCGGCAATAGCTAACTACCTGTGCCCCATCATTTCGAGGCATGCATCGAAGAGCATTCATGATCTCATTTTGCACATGCATGTGCATACCTACTCCCATATCTATCCCTAGTAGCAGGGGTGGAGCCAGGATTTCGGAATGAGGGGGGCAATGAAGACAACGACCCTACATGGGATTTTATTTCTTCTGGAACACATCTCGCTGCGTGTCCTTTTGTATGAGATTTTTTTGAAGATAAAGTGTCATGTATACCACGATCTACTATATCATTGACTTCGAAACGTAGCAATATATCAGTGGCAATACAAAAAAAAGGCTTCATTTGTACCAGATTAAATTTAGCTCTACAACTATCTTGCCCATCAAACAAAATTTTAATCTTAGTTGGGTAAACTTTGTAGCTATTTATTTTCCAATATAGAAAATATAATTTCATAAATATTCTCTCTTGACTAAAAGCCACATCTAATTTGTAAATTAATCAATTGTCTCACACCATATGAAAATGCAAATAGCCAGATAAATGTGATCTATAAGAAAAATAACTACACAGTATCTTTAGACTTGAACATTTGAGGAGTAAATAACGTAAATGATAGGTCATGACCTCATGTGCCCGAGCACGGCACATTGATTGTTGTCGCGGCAGGATCTACACAGCGGAGACAACGACCTGGCTAGCATGGTGCCCCGACAAGGCGTTGATGTCGTCGCATGGCGGCGGGCAGGAACAGAATCACGATCAATCTAAGCAACTTATAGATGCTAGGTCAGAAGGTGGCCTAGACGAAACATGCTAGGCTATGTCTTGGGTTGGATACATAAAGTGTGGGATAAGTTAACTTTGGGCCTTCGTGTACATCAACTACTGTTCGAAAATCTACGGACTACTCAACTTGTAAATAAGGAATATGGCGCTATTACGTACTCGTATACTTAGCATGTGCGCCGATTCGTTGAAGGGGGCGATCAGTATGAATATTGAAACCCTCAGCAACTCAGAAGATATTAGAAATAGCGTAAAAACACACATTGAAAATTGAAGACCTAAAATAAAGAATGCAGTACTGGAAATAGAGCAGCGCCATAGTCATTCATGCATCAATCTCCGGCTGTCATGTCTTCCGCTGTGACCAACGCACCCTCTCTTTCACCTCCATGTTGCATCGTCAATTCTCTCTTCTCAGACCTCTCCATTTTGCTGTAGTCCTCTACTGTTGCACTCCTCATCGTTCGGTTGCAGATTATATGAGGCAGGATAGCGAACAAGATCCGAAAAGCAAAACTAAATGGGGCTCTGCAGACATCTGAAGTGAGTTGAGAATGCCTGAAAATAATAAAATATGATTCAATAATTCATTTTCTATAGATAAATTATAATAATATTTACAACATCGCGAGTTTCCCATCGTAAATGATTATATGATTTTGTGCATTTACGCGCTTACATTGCCTATTTGTATAAATGGGCTCTAGCTAGACCATATTAAAATTATTCGTTGTCCATTATTTATATTGGACTTTTTTATTTATTCATAACCTTACCA